ATAAGTATCCGACGAAAGCCAACATATATACATTTCCCCAAAGCAAACCCACCAAAGCACATAGCAATCGTTCAAAGAAACCCCCACCAAAACAAAGAGCAACAAAAACTAGGTGATAGAGACAGAATACTAATAGAATGCTTACCTTTAACTCAAATGACTTTAGATCACGAGACAATTGCTCTGCATCGATTCCCTCCCGTGCAAGTAGTCTGTGACATCCAAACCAAAAATAAAGATTAACAAAAATCATCACTCAGCTGCATAGCTACGCTACCTTCTCTTATGAAATAATCCACATAATTTCTGAAATGATCGACCGGGCAATTCTACTGTGTTTGGTTCTTTGAACGTGAGACCTAGGGATAATCGAAGTTGGAAATAGTACCTTGTAGCACTATGTGTTTTGAATATTTTTTTTTTTATCTATATCTTCTATATATTAATTGAAGAGTCACTAAGTAAATATCTTATGTGTCATTTAATAAAAATTTTAAGAAACATTCATTAAATTGAACCAATTATAATATTTTAGTGAAAAATATATACCATGGTGAAATTCTGTACATATTTTTATTAATTTCATAACAATTCTCTATATATTAATTGAAGAGACACTAAGTGAAAAAATCTTATGTGTCATACCAATGTGGAATTATGTACATATTTTCATTAATTTCTTAACAAACCCCCCATTAACAAATGTTTAACAAATTTAAGCCCAATTAAACGTAATATTTATGATTTATCATATCATCTATTTTAATCTTTTTATGATATATGAACAAAAAATTTATAATTATATTTGTAAAAATATTATCTATTATGTATATATATATATTTAGATTAGTATACTATACATATATTTTTATTATGATGTAGTCTATTATACATATTTAATCATATTTACAAATATTTATACATTTTATTATTGAAAAAATATATTGAGTTTTATTTGTTATGTAAGAAAAATTCATATAAATCTAAATTGATTTCAGTTATCGTATATTCTATAATTTACACGAATAAAGATCAATTTTACACTTAAAATATATTGAAATAAATGACATTTGCATATGTTTTAATCAATTGTACACAGAAAAATATTAAAATTCATGGCTTGCTCAAAAGTATTCAAATTTTTACACAATACATATCATTTTCTACGTTTA